TCTGATACAGGTTTTGGTCTTCCCAATCAAAGACTTAATCTACCCATTTACACTGACATTTCTGCTGTATGGGTTGTCAGGCACATTCCCAACTAAGACTTTCTTTGTACTTGCTGTTCCATCTGACTGGATGCCACATAGCTTGCATCTGCTTCAGGTTTTTACCCAAGTATTTTCCCAGTGATGCTTTCCTCATTACTCCTCTCCCTTATTCTTGTCTTATTTCCCCCCAAAGGATCAATAATCAAGCGTCCAGTGAGTATGTTCGTGGACTTGGTGAGAATATATAAATTCCGACACCACTAGAGTCCGTAACATTGCCACGATGTCAGGACGCGCATTCTTTTTTTGATGAAGTGATGCGACACCATGTCATTAAAAAGCAGAATACCTACACCTCTAGAAAGGTCACTTCCAAACAATGTTTCTTCTGCTAAGAACAGTGGAAAAGAAGAGTGCGGTAAGAGAACAAAGTTCCTTCCGAAGCTGGGGTCTCTGGGTACCCGGCTGCACAGAGAGCCATGGAAGTCTGGGGTCCTTACCTTGGTGCCTCCGAGCCGTAACACTTCCTCCAGAGAGAAAGCATTTTCAGCTTCATCGTCCTCATCGTCTTCGTCCGGGTCGTTTTCCCCCTCTTCTAGACCCCAAGGTCTCTCGGCGTGGAACTCGAGAGAATCCATAGTTTCAGCCAAGGCTAGCCGAGCACGCGCAGCAACTTCTTAGCTTACTTCCGCTTGCTTGAATGACGTACTTCCTGGAGTGGGACTTCCCTCCCGGAAGGGGCGACAGTCCCCGCCCCCGCTGGCTTCGTTAGTGTGAAGTGTGCAGAGCCCAGCATGAGTGTCCTCTGTCGGGCCGGCGCCTGGTCCCTGTGCGCCACTGCGCGCGCGGGTAGGCATCGGTGGTGCTGGGGAGCTCTTCTGGGAGTTCCCGTATTGGGTCTAGTTCGGGTGATTCCCTTCTAGCTTTGAGCTGACAGGAGGTGGTTGTATGGTCCTGGGGAAAATGCCCGCCCTCCTTCCCCGCTGTGCGTGTGAGCGGCTTCATATCACTTTCAGGTTAACGAAGCCGCTTTAAAAGCACCCAGATTACTTTGCCCATATATATAGCCACGATTTTTTAATGTGTTCTGTTTGATGTGGTTGTGTTTTGTAGTTATTCCTTGTCTATGCAATGGGAAATACTTCAGCTCCGGAAGAGAGACAGCAGAAAACAGCGCTGTGACCCCGATGCTGCGGCATCTTATGTACAAAATCAAGTCTACTGGTCCCATTACTGTGGCCGAGTACATGAAGGAAGTCTTGACTAACCCAGCCAAGGTAGGAGCCGGCCAGCAGAGGACCAAAGGCCGAGCAGATTTGCCAGGTTTGAATCTTGCAGAGTGAGGGCCAGGAGGAACCCAGGGTCTTTGGTTGGCATCAGCGGTGCTTTCTTGTTGAAAGGATCAAGCTCTCTTAACCCCTATGAGTTAGTGGTTGTCGTTTACTACTCATTTTGGAGAGGATAGTATTAAAAGACAAATGTTCATCCCTTAACTCAGACTGTGCGATATTAAGGGAAGTTTTGCTAAATTATCTGTAGGTATTAAGTACTCCACAGGGACCAAAAGGCTAGGGGAAGCACAAAGAACCGTATGCCCTCTTGCATGGAGTTTACGACCCGCCCGTCTGTAGATCACCTCCTATAGGGCGCTGGCTCACCAGCTCTCAGTTATGATAAGTTCTATTACTGTGTCCTTGGATTTACAGTTTTCCAAAGAATCCATTTTTTCTAAAGTTTGTTATGGCCAGAAAATAAATTATGACCATGAAACATTTATTAGGCTTGCTATAATTAAAAAAAAAATTACTTGGCTCTTGATTCTGTTCCATTGGTCTGTGTCTTGTCATTGTACCATTGTCTGTATCATTGTACCATTGTGCTCTTTTGTTTATTAGAACTGTGTAGTTGTAGGTTTGAGATCAGAGAATCCTGTGCTTCCCACTTCATTCTTGTTCTTTAGAAGTGCTTGGCCTATTTAAGGTCACTTTCCTCTCCAAATAAACTTGCCAGTTGCCTTTTTATCTCTTTGTAAATGCCTGTATTGGGATTTTGTTAAAAATAAAGATTGCTTTTGGTAGGAATGTCTTCTGATCCATGAACAGGGAATATTTTCCAGTTTATTTAAGTTTTTTAATTGTTTCTCACAAAAGTGTTTTGTAGTTCTCTTTGTAAAGGTCTTTTATGTGTCTAGACTTATTCCTAAGTATCTCAATTTGTGGTTGACTCTTGTAAATGGTATTGCTTTCTTATTTTCCTTCTCTGTGTTTTCTTTGTTACTGTAGAGGAATCCCACTTATTTTTGCATATTGATCTTGTATCCTGCCACTCTACTAAATTGGTAAACTAGCTCTAACAGTTTTGTTGTTGTTGAGTCTTTGGGGTTTCTGTGTACCCTATCATATCATCTGCATATAATGACAGTTTCACCATATCATCTGCAGATAGTGACAGTTTCACCATTGCTTTGCCAATCTAAGTGCTTCTTATTTCCTTCTTTTGCCATATTACCCTAGCGAGTACTTTCAATACAATATTGAATAGGATCGATTCTGTGACTGGAGCAGTGGGAATAAGTGCGTTTGAGATGGCTAGGTTGGCACAGGAAAGAACAGCATTTAGAACTCTTGTACATAGGGTCGCTATGAGTCGCAAGCGACTCGATGGCACATAACAACAACAACAACAATAGTCAAATCAGATATGACTGGTACAGGAGGAGATTGTCTCTCCTTCTCTAGCAGAGCATCTGGTGGATTTGAACCACTGGACCAATTGGCAGCATCAGGATGGGTGGCGAAGAGATTGAGATTGTTAACAACTTTAGTTTGCTTGGCTCCACGGTCAACACTCTTGACACCAGCAGCCAGGAAATCAAAAAACATATTGCGATGGGAAAGTCTGCTGTTAGGGACCTCTTCAGGGTAATGAAGAGCAATGGTGTCACTCTGGAGACTAAGGTGCGTCTGATGCAGGCTATGGTCTGCATTCACTTGTTATGCATCAGAGAGTTGGACAATGACTAGGTAGGATAAAAGGAGAATTGATGCCTTTGAGCTGTGATGCTGGAGAAGAGTATTGAATATACCATAGACTGCCAAGAAAACAAACAGATTCAACCTGGAGAGGGTTAAACCAGGCTGCACCCTGGAGACAAGGATTCTGGGGCTTTGTCTTACATACTTTGGGCATGTTGCAAGGAGGGACAGGTCCTTGGAGAGGGACATCATGCTTGGTAGGGTGGAGGGACAGTGCAGGAGGGAAAGACCCTCTATGAGGTGGATTGATTCAGTGACTGGGGTAATTGGGATGGGAGTATCAGTGGCAGTGCGATTGGCACAGGATAGAGCAGGGTTTAGGGCTGTTGTATGTAGGGTCGGTATGAGTCGCAAGCGATTCGACGGCACATGACAACAACAACAGCCACCTCTGGGATTCAGTGCAGCTTCTTGCCACCAGGCCAGCAGAGCTCGCCTCACCTGGGTATTCTTAAAGTGTACGCTCTTAACTCAGTATTTTGGAGTAGAAATTAAAATTGTCAGCCAGGCACCAAACTAGAATGATCAGATTCTGCCTTGACTGTGACCTAGAATAATTTGTCATTTCTCTCATGACAATCTATGCTGTTAAGTCAAGCACAATTTAAAAAAAAAATGACCGTATGCACTTGCTGCAGAAGATGAAGAACTGCAGTCTTCAATATGGATTGAAACTCAACATCAAGACAACAAAGATTCTCACCTCTGGGCCGATTGGCAGCTTTATGATAGATGGTGAGGGATTGAAATTATTAACAACTTTAGTTTGCTTGGCTCCACAATCAGCATTCTTTGTACCAGCAGCCAGGAAATCAAGAGACAGATTGCACCAGGAAAGTCGGCTGTCCAGAATACTGAAGAGTGATGACATCAGTCTGGAGATGAAGGTACACCTGATCCAGGCCGTACTCTTCACAGTTGCTTGCCATGTGTCAGAGAGCTGGGCAGTGACGAGGGATGATAGAAGAATTGATGCCTTTGAGCTGTGGTGCTGGAGCAGAGTGTTTACTATTCCATGAACTGCTAGGAGAACAAACAGGTTCGTCCTAGAGAGGGTGAAGCTAGGCTGCTCCTTGGAGGCAAGGATTCTGAAGCATCTTCTGACATACTTTTTTGCAAACAGCGATCAGTCCTTAGAGAGGGACGTCATGCTTGGAAGGGTGGAGAGATGGAGAAAGAGAGGGAGATAATCAGTGAGATGGATTAATATAATGACTGGATTATAAGGGTAAGTGTATCAGAGACAGTAAAGTTGGCACAAGATAGAGCAGGTTTCAAGGCTGTTGTACATAGGGTTGCTATGAGTCCAAGTTCCAAGCAACTTAACAGCACGTAACAACAGCATCATGAACAGATCTGAACTTTGCCCTGTCCTACGCCTTGCTTACCGTCCCTGGAGTCAATCCTTTTTTACAGCTATGTGTCTGTCCATCTTTTTTTTTTTTAAATTTTTTTTATTTTTTAAAGTATTTTTTTTTTAAATTTTATTATTTTGTGTGCATGTACCGTCAAATCAGATCTGACTGGTACAGGAGGATATTGCGCCTCCTTCTCCGGCAGAGCATCTGGTGGATTCGAACCGTGTTCCTCTGGGATTGCAGTGCAGTGTCTGTCCATCTTGTTGAGGCTATTCTTTCTCTGTCTGACCCTCCACCTTTCCCAGCACAATGTCTTTTTTTCAAGGACTGACTCCTCTTGATGACATTCCTGAAGTATGTGAGGTGAAGTTTTACCATCCTTGCCTCTGGGTAGCACCCCGTTGCCCTTTTTATTTTGAAGTGTGTAACCTTTTGCCATCTTTAGATAGGAGATCTGTGGAATGCAGCGTTTGTTTGACCTATTAATATGGATGTGATGCAGTGACCTACATGCCCAGAAGTTAAGTAAAGTTAGGGATCTTTTAGTGGCTGTTAGCAGGGTCAGAGGGATCACAAATTCCTAGAAAGAGAAACTTTGCTACAAACATTTCTGCTGTAGAGTGAAGGTGCACAAGTCATCTATCAGTTTATGACATATTGAGGCTCTGGAGATGCCAGGCACTCCCTATTCAGGGCCTGGGAATTTGACAGTAAGTAATGGAGTCTAGAGTTTATGTTCTAGGTAGGAAGTAAACTACACACATGGGAACAAATAGTTTAACAATATAATTCTGTATTGTGAATGCATCTAGAGGCAAAACAACAACAAAATATAGGATGATGGAATTGAAAATAAGTAATACACTTGGAATGGGTTGTAGAGAAGTTTCTTATGTAGATGACCAAAGGATAGGCCCCTCTCAGGAAGTGCTTTTGAGGTTAGTTTGAAGGATGCTGAAATTAGGCTTGAAGGAGGGGAATGGATCAGGCTGGGAAAGACTTGGATGAAGTGAGTTCCTCACAAAGGAACATGCAGCACACACTGTCACAGCTATAAAGTGCCTTGACACAGAGACAAAAGACAAGCGTGGTTAGAGGGTCATGACTGGCGTGGGGCATTGATGGTGAGTGGGAGATGAGTCTGGCAGAGGCTGACTCAGGCAAGGTTTTATCAAATTTAGGTATTTGTGTTAGTTTAGTGATAAACCAGGAAGCATTTTCAACAAGAAAGTATCAAGATCTAATTTATTTTTACACAGGTCATAATGGGTAATGTGGAGAGTACTGATTGCAGAGGATGAAGAACAGAAGTCCAATTAGTCTTAACTATTGCAGACGTGGAAATGATGTTTGCTTGAACCACCTCGATAGTAGTAAAAGTGGAATGAGAACCAGCTGGTTTATAAATCCAACTTGTCTTGACAGAATTTGCTGACAGATCAGCTTGAGAAATTGGATGATTGTGATGCCTTTTGCTGAAATAGTGAAGACGGAAAAGATCAACTTTAGACTTATAAAAGTGGTAAGGGGAGGTAGGAGGTCAAATCATCTGACTTCTATCTTGACAAAGGGGAAAGAACATCAAGATCTATAACCCAGGCTGATTTCTATGAGGTAGAGATGAGACATTCCTCTTTGCAACCTTTTTACCAAATCTGACACCAGCCAGCCTTCTAAGACACACTGCTTCTCTGTTTTGATAACTTATTGCAGTATCACACAGAACTCACAAATAGTACTCATGAGTATTTCAGATCAGAAATGACTCAGAATAAAGTTCGTTGTTCAAGACAACCTCTTCTTGCCCTCTGCTCCTAGACCCTACTATGACCCTTCTCCAGCAAATATCATAAAGCTCTTTAGCTTCATAAATAACTTCCCTGG